ATCTACTACAAATCAACAAATATTTTGATTTATTTATCCAGGTATTATTTTAATATATTAATTAATTAATTTTAATATAAAGAACTCGCTCTAATAAAATACAGATCAGAAATATTCTTTTATCAAGTATTCTTTTATCAATTTTCATATAATCTATGCCTCAAACCCAATCGTTCACACGTCATAAACGTGGGTATTTTGAGAGATGTTTTCAATACAAGGAAAATCATATTCATATTTTATGTCTTTAAGTTGAAGAGTTGCTATATTGACTATATACGTATGTTTCAGCTGTAAGCTTTCCCCTATTATTTTTACACCCTGTATAAATTGTAAGCTCGGGCCACGTCAGTCTTATTTCAAACTATTGGAATCCTCAATATTAAAAGTCGTTTTCAGTGGCCGGATTGATAACTCAATATAATGGAAATGACAATTCTTATAAAATCATCCCACTGAAGGTATAGAAAGTAGGAAAACATTAAGGTTCCATAACTTTCTAAATGTATAAACTTTCTCTTAACGAGTAAATATATTTTTCAAATTCAACTTCGATTTATGGACGCCGTCTATACGGTAATATCAGTAAAATTGAAAATCTCTCATAACTGAAGTATAAGTTTCCCCCTTTACAAATAATTATATTGACACGGCATATTCATAGCTTTTATTTTCTTGTACATTTCTGTTATAAAATAAGTATAATATGAATTTTAATTTGTTTCTTTTAGTTTATATAAATGTATTAAGGTTCACAATATTAAAACAAAATTATCAGACATTATGTAAATTACTTAAGGTATTCCAACAGAAAAAAAGAGGAGACACAACGAAAGTACAATAATCACGTTTACAAATAATGTGTTTAGTCAAAATAGGAACTTAAGGAACACAGACTATTACATATTTCAAAAGAAACTACTAACTTTTTGTAGTTGCTCTCGTTTTCCTAGCTACACTGTACTTTAGAACGGCATTTCCTAGAATATCAGCGCCCCTGTCAAATAGCTGCCATCAAAATGATTATATACCAATGACCATCTCCAAAATATGTCTAACAATATATGTTTTTTGTAAAAGTACATAAACAGTTAAATAAAATTTCAATTTATTGTGTCGGAAATGATAAATATGTATATTACTTTAATAAGTATCCCACAAAATATTAAAGATCACATAATGTAATCTAAAGATGAAAGAACTACGATTCAGTGTAATAAGTCGCTTAAACATCTTGAAAGCCTCAATTACATACAATTTTATTGCAAGTACTTAGTAGATAAACAGTTGTATTATTGACCGAGACGTACGAATCTCAGCACACATCTCGTACATTTAATCTCCAGCTCCTTGTCCTGGTGTTGTTTGAGATGGTCCATGTAGTGGAGCACGTTGGCCGTCAGTTCACAGCGTTCAGCGTACACTGGAATCATTTGAAGACAGATATACGATGATTTTAATTTCTTCTACGTAGTATACTATTTGATGTGACCTCTTAAAATTAATATTGAAACTGAAATAAATGAATTCCTCCTTACGAAACGCATGTTTATTTAAGCCGTTTTTAAATTACTTTAAGAGTTTTGAATAAAGAGCAAATATGTTCTATAAAATTATTATTAGGACATGAAAATTTTATTTTGATTTTATGTGACATGAAAATTTGGTTTATTTTGTTAAAAGGCACTATTTAAGCTTATTGAGCCCCTATTAAAGCACTATTTAAGCTTATTGCCTCGCGCCTGAGCGGCAAATGTCATAATATATTATTATATAATCGCAAAACAGTACCTATGAGTAATCACTAGTAGATACTCACAGGCTCTACTTCATCAGCAGGTTTTGGTTCTTCCCTGACGGTGTTGGCTCGTGCTAGTTCCTCAGTTAAGTACGCGTTTGTGTGTTGTGTCACGAGGAGATGAGATAGAATGTCCGTGCCTGGAGTAATATTATATTAGAACAACAAAGTTTTTCATACAGAATGGCAATATAAACGAACTGTATACAATTTTTGCGTCGCGAAAGTTAATACGTATTGTTTCTTCTTTCCCATCACTCATAATAAATCTTCGCAATAAAATCTGTTTATACTACTTGTTTAATTTAACGATGCCGTCTGGGGATTAAAAACTTAATATTTTATTAGTTACTATAGTCATTGGTTAATTGTATATTTTATATTGATCTATATATGCTGCTGGTCTAACAGTTACATATGTATATAATTTATAAAAGACAATGAAAATATATTATATTGATTGATATCCTTTAACCAGTGTAAACTGACTTATGTCTGTATAGTATTCGCAGACGCAGTATAGCGTGGGAGCGGGTCTAGGAGCGGCCTCCAGTGAAAGTGAGCCGGCGCAATATCCACTGTGTCTCAACATCGCTCGGTAACATGATGTACATAGCATATGGACACTTGCTGCGCGACGTGCGACCGCTGTATATTGAGAATATTAAAATTATACTTTAGTATGTATTAAACATTTGGTAAATTATTTATCTAATCTTTCTTCATTAGAAAATATAGAAATATTAAAAAGATGATATCACAATATAATAAGGGCTACTAAAATAATTTTTTTTTTTGTAAAAGTTAATGAGTGTTTTCAACACGATAAAGGAAAAACTACGTCTCTTTACTGACATTCAATAAATCTGATTGTATTCAATGTTTGCAGCGTCGTTTTATTAAGTGGTTATACTAACAGGAAGTGTTTGTCATTGTCAAGCGGCGTGTCACACTCGCGACACAGAAGACCCTCTTGTATGACCAACGTGACACCTTCATACGTGTCGCTGATGGCGTGACACGCGACGTCCTTGATATATTATTATATAATTGTAGTTTGTTAATTGTAGATAAATATGATATACATACAAGGAGTAGTATACAACATGTAACATAATTAACGCACACCCTCAAACACCCCAATTAGAATATAATGATATAAACGCAATGCATACACCAAATATTATTTATATGTGCGTTAGCATTGTTTATTTGTGAAATTAGTTATCCTAATTTCGTGGAAATAATATGGTCAGCTATTCACCAACACTCTGCTACACACGCACACACAGACAGACACAATGTACTCGCCGCGCCCGCGCCCCTCTCTCCGAGTGCCGTCCGACAATAATAAGAAGTAGGTAATAATAAGTATACGAAATAACTACATTATGATTTATGATTTTTCTTTCCATCATACTTTTCAGGCTTTAGATTGTCGACATTGAATTTTCTTTTAAATGTGAAGGTAATATTTTATAATTACTGATTTGTTAAATTAAATTTGTAAATAGATTATTATTAAACAGCTGATAACGCGTGATTTGATTAGACACCACAATACCTACGACAAGCAGTAGAGTTATATGACGTACATATCTTGGGCAGGTTAATCAAGTGCTCAGTAGAACACAGAGGTAGAACTTCCTCGAACGGGTTGTGGTCTCGAATCTGATGCTCTTTCAGTTGACCTGAAAAATATTATACGTATTAATGTGTGTATTGAACTCATTTTATTGTAAATGAAACTAATATTTTTCGGATATACTACGCTACTTGATTTTTGATAAAAACTACATACTCCCGACGTTTCGGCTACTTTTCAGCAACCGTGATCACGGACAGACGAGATGTGAGCGTTTATTTTTATTGTACATATAATGATACTAGTAAACCCGGCGAACTCCGTTTCGCCACCAGGCTTTGTTTTATGTAACATTTCGTTTGGTGATTAAAAGATGACGAATTTTTTTATTGTTTTATATTTGAAAAGGAAAATTTTAATTTCGTTTCACAACAGTAATGAATTCATTTCGATTACAGAAATGTTGTGTTATTTAGTTGAACTTCTCTAAGTAAATAAAAATAATCCAAAGTAGATACCGAATTGAAGCGTTATACGTGTCCGCAAATTATCCGTTTCATTGAGGTGCTCTTTTGTAAACCACATTTTTTGTTTTTTGGCTTAACGTTAACACAAATAAAGCAGATGGTTTCCGAGCTCCTGAACACGCAAAGTATAACTGCCCATGTGAAAAACAATGATTTTCTAAATTTATCCCGCAAATACTAAATGGTTTTGAGAGTTTAAACTATAAACACAATACCGGTTACATGAAATTAACTGAGCAGAGAACAATGAGTAGCCTTCAAACAATGTATCATACACCGGCACCATCTACTTAAAATATTGATTTGTAGTACTGTTACGTATCAGAGATGGGGCTGTATGTGAAAAAAGATTGTCCCGCTTTTCTGTAGAAAATTTTCCTGATTTTTTTTTGTTATAAACCTCACGGAGTCAGAGACCTTTCCAACGAATGCAAAACCCTGGAAATCGGTTCGGTCGTTCTGGAGTTGCGTCAGGAAGAAAGAACGGACTTATTTTTATTTAGTAGATTTAAGACTTGCGAGTATTAATTTAAATGAAAGTAATATTTTCGGAATACTTTGCGTATTTTATTATTTTTAAAAACACCACACTCCCGACAACTTGTCTGCCTTAATCATGGTTGCTGACAAGTAACCGAAACGTCGGGTGTATATATAATAGTTTTTTAAATAATAAAATACGCGAAACAATCCGAAAATATTAGTTTCATCTGTTTATATACATAGTACTTACAGTTGTATAATTCACCGTGACTTACGAATCTCAGCACACATTTCGTACATTTAATCTCCAGCTCCTTGACAAGACTGGTCGTTAACATTATATGGAACAAGCACACCGGCTGCTAAAAACGTACCTATACCATTTAGAATTCCAATAATCCGGAATAGGAGCAATGCGACCCGACCCGTTGTAGTTCAAACAGGGCGTAAAAACAACAGAGGAAAGCCAGTGCCTTTAGTTCAGACTTATACAGTGGGACTTGTGAAAAGAAAAAAAAATAAGAATACAAAGAACCCCAATAGAAATTCGCAGAAAAAACAGGGACGACCGGCAACGCGCTCACCCATAGAGAGTTCGACCTTACGCCTGACAACATCTACGACGCCGGATTTAAGCCTTAATTTGAGAGGGGATTTGACAGATCCTTTGTTCGACGTCAGAGGGCGTAAGATGTCAAATCTGTTCGAGCAATATCCGAAAATACAAAGAATATACCCGGCGCCGCTGCAAGCCAACGGTACCTGCATGCTGTCCGTTGATACGTTTTGCGTTTTATTAAACCTCCGAATAGTTTGTGCTTGCACGAGATTTAGTTTTGTTCCGGAGTTTTGCATGTCGTGTGTTTGCGTTGTTAATTTTATTTCGTCGCAGAACTTATTTGATAATGTCTCGCTAAACTAAGATTGTTTCAAAAGTTAATTGCTTAACACATCGTAGTGTAAATCTCTTTTATTTCGTAGTGTTTTATATTTATTTTCTACATATTTATGAAATATTCTTAGGCTAAATTAGTTCAGTAAATTTCGCTTAAAATTTTTCACACTTATATTTGCTTTTGATTTTAACAAATAAAATATCACAAACAATAATTCATAAATTGTATGATCATAACAGCCTTTTATGTTCCGCCTTTTGTGTTTATTTATTATATTTCATTTTGAATTCATATTCATATTTACTTGTATTTCAATAGTTTTTGAGTTTAAAATACATATAGGATTAAACATTCTTTTTTAGTCAATAATAATTGTAGGGAACACTGTGTCATTTGTACTAAAAATACCATGAATATTTTCTTATTCAGCTGGACCTTTGACTCAGTGGGAGCTTATATTCTATGGTACTGAAACACCTGCACAAGAAAGCGATGTGTCCACTGAAAGTAACGTAGTGGGAACTAATCCTGGGACCAGCGAGTATTATATCGGTTAAATTACTATATGACCCTTTACAAAAGAACATCAATTTAAACTGTAAAATATACCTCGTCGAAAAGCCCCGAAAGTCAATTTCCAATCATTACTACAATTATAAATTATGAGCATATAATGTAATATAATTACAATCAGTTTAATAAGAGTTTAGTTTTGTTTTGCCGATAAATTTACGAAATAATAATGAATGGTTTAAGTATACAATATTCGTATGTAATATTAAGAATATTGTTTTTTCAACATAAAAATATAATTCAAAATCAATAAGCATAGTACATGTAGATTTCTTTTGGCTTAGATATTTCGATTGCTGAAGTAGAGGTGAAGACGTTTTTAATTCGGTATGAGAACAATGATCAACTCTATTTTTGTTGTTCCTTCGCGATAATTAACTTTAATAACTAATAGTCTGAATTTAACAAACAACCTTTGAGCTTCTCACAAGAACAAAGTTTTTAATGTATCTATTCTCTTTTACGAGGACTACTAAAAAGTTTTTGTCTAACTGTTGGTACTACTTCAGCAATAATTATTTTAATTCCATTTGTAATATGTGTTGTTGTTTAATAAATATTTTTTCTCCTAACTTAATAAATATAGGTTTAGTGTGAATCATATTTGAAGTACATTCAGCAACTATTTTAAGTCCAGAATTCCCTAACAGTAATTTGTATATGCGAATTCTAAAGACATCACAAAACAAGACAAGACAATAAAAAATATATAAAGAAGGTTTTTGACACAAAGAATCATTTCTATGTTATTTATTTATATTTTATTATCACTTCCTTAATGTCAATACTTCGGTAATAGATCCGTGAGGAAGGACAAGCGGTTGAAGGTGGGTTCAAAGCAGGAGCGGAAGCGGGTACGGTCTCCAGCGGTTGCGCCACACTCACACATCAACCGCCACATCGCTGTTTAGGTTTGTTCTTACTACTCATACTTTTCTGCGCGGCTGACGCTTTCACAGACATTTATTTAAGCAGACGACCGCGCAGAGAGTTAACACTAACAACTAGTAACAAACTACCGGTACGGTGTGATAGACCACCAAGGGCACCATGCTTGAACAACTCCGACCTGATTCTGGCGCAATAGTACCTACTCTGCTCGTGATTTTAATTAAATATAAGTACAAGTATTTTATAATAATAATTTTTATATTTCAATAATAGATATGGCGTTGTACTTAATTATCTGTTTTAAACTACAATTTTATATATTTTTTTGTCATTGTTATGTATTAAAATAAAAACTGGATACGTCACCTGTTAATTTTACGAAAATAAGTAGCCGCTTATTATATAAAATCGCAGTGTTTAATGATAGCGTTACTTGAAAACTTCGATGGTGTTCAATACTTATATATTATATAACTATACTTATATATAACTTGACTTTAGCTAATACATGTTTGAACGACTGCAATGTGACTTGTATGTATATAAATTGTACTTGCAAAAAGTCCAGTAATCAAATAGTTTATTTGTATTTTCATCTTATTCATCGGTAAAAAAGAGCTAGAGAAAAGTGCAATTACATAAATTTATATGTATTTCAAAATAAAAACGTCCATTTTGCAAAATAAATTGCATTATGAGGAGTGATTATGTAGTAAACACGTTTTTATTGTCTGTAAAAATGGCTACTTAGTTATAAAATACCTGCCGTACTTAGTAAAGTTTATATTGCGGCTCATTGTTATGCTTCTATTTGAACCGGTCATCCTATATGTCTATGTATATCATATATTTCATCAATTTGAACATTGTAAACGAATTTTCAATATATAAATAATAAGACCGTGGGTGGCCTTCATAAGTTTGCTTCATAGTATAAATGTTATAATTTATTCTTACTTCAAACTGTTACAATAAAATTATTTTTTACAATTGTTACGTTGTTACCAAATAAAGAGCAGTCCATTGAACACGATACCAAATGTTACGCATTTATTTTATTCTATATATACAGGGTGACTGGTGAATTACTATCAATATTTAAGGAGAATACTCGGTACATGATTCTCATTCGAATTATGTAAAATAAAAAGGTACTTAATTTTTGACCCAATTTCCGTATAAATAAATAAAGTGACGACACGTTCCAAGTGTTCCAAGTGTGGAGGCGTGCGGCGGCGTGCTGATACAACACCACGCCGCCAAACGCGTGTGTGTGTGTGTGTATACCTAATCTGTAGGGTGTTCACACGATGCGTAATTAATTACATAACTTTTGGTTAACTTTACTTAGAAGTTTATTAATATTTATGTTATATTAATTTTTATTTTGTCATATATGATCGTCAAATATCGATAGTAATTCACCAGTCACCCTGTATGTATATATAAATATATATACAGTAATACCTCGGACTTACGCGATAGGTGGGACTGAGTACTATCCGCGTAAGTCGAATTCGCGTAAGTCGGGGTACAATTTTGCATATAAAGTCATACAAAGTATGTTTAATTGGGACCGGAGACTAAATAAAACAATAATTTAGGAAATAATTAGTATCTAATTCTAGATAATATGATAAACTATATTAATAGAGTGTAAAAACACAATCTGAAGTTATTTTGATGTAGAAGGTTTCATAAATTGTAACAAAGTCGTCTGACGATTCAATGATTCTTTCTTCTCCCGTAATATCTCCTCGTAGCATCCTAGTAATTTTTTTATTCCATTTTTTCTAACAAAAATTCGCTCTTCATTGGAGTCTATGCTTTCCAAAATTGTTAACCCTTTCTCAATCGAACTGAGGGCTTCTGTCAAGTTTCCAACTGTCATTTGATCTTCTAATTGAACTGGATCCAAAGAATCATTATCAATTTCTTCCTCTTGTTCATGCATTGTTATGAGCTCATCAATTGTAAGCTCCTCATTGTGTGATTCCAACAGCTCTTGAACATCATCACTATCCACTTCTAAATTTATTTGTCTACCAAGTTCGACAACGTCTTTGATCACACTGCAAATTTCATCAGGCCCTGGCACTGATTCCACCTGAGTCTCAGTGGAGAAAAAAAATGGACAGAGTTTTTTATATATGTATTAGAAAATTAAATCGCGTAACTCCGAATTCGCGTAAGTCGAGGTAGCGTAAGTCGGGGTATTACTGTATATATATATCGACAGTTTAAATGACTCGAAAAGTCGACTTCAAATAGAGTAATTTTTAGTGACTTCGAAAAAAAAATCATAATCGATCCACTTCAAAAATTAAGTAATTAATTATACTCTCATAATGTTTGTCAACACTTAATGTAACGCCACAAAAAAACTTAACCGGTACCGATAGCTTAAAATTTATTAGATCGCTTCAAACGTCAAAATAAACAATTGGCCCTTATTTTGTTTTGACTAGTATATAAGCCTAAGTTTTTAACTAGTGTTTCTTTTAAAGACATCGTAATCACATAATAGGTATATAAAAAAAAAAGTATCGTAATGAGTTTTTGTAAAATAATCTTTAACTCTTTCTTTTTTACAATATGAACTATTAATAAAATTACTAGGAAAATATAAAACATTTATCAACACCAGTTGAAATTTCACGATTTCTTTTTATGAAAAGTATAAAGATTGTACTTATGTTTCTAAAACGTAACAGCATGAGATAGATTAACTGCTCATGACATCACTTCCTGATTATAAATGGGGATAGTTTATCATACACATTCTTATTCTATTCAGTTACATTATTTATCCTAGATATTATAACTTCTTACTTACATATATCAAAATATATACATATTATAATTCTCTTAATATAGAAAGGTGATAGAAACGAAGAAAAAATAAAAATCTATAATTTAAATATGTATAAAGTGATATTAGAACATATTTGATTAGCACATTCCTGTTCAAATATTAGCTAGGTTAACCTTTTACACAATGATATGTCTATAAAATCAAAATTCTAAGTATGTGCTCAATAACAGTTAAATTAAAATATTTTTAGGTTGGTTTAAAAGTTAAATTCCTAGGTTTTTAATACCCAATCTAATCTCCATAAAACAGTGATTTCATTTGCTAGTATCATTTAATTTAAAATTAAATTTAAGTTCTAAATATTTCTAGTTACCTTTGAATGAAAATTAAAAAAAGAAGTTTCTGCTGAAACGTTTTCTAATTATAGATTGTGAACATTATAAATAAGTTCTTTTAATTTCTAATTATTAACAAAACACAAATGAAATGTAATGTTCCTGTGTTTACTTAACACTTAAAAAACATCCTCAATGTATTCAAATTTTAAGGGTCTCAGAGAGTTACACAACCTTCTTCACAAACCTTACCAGCTTAAATATTTAAAGGGTAAATAGAGACAAAAGTATTTGTAAAATTACTTATAAAGTATTCCAAATAAGAATGTCATATCTCATGTTATTAAAAAGCTTAAATTATTCTATCCACGTGATAATTGTGTCTGTCTTCATTTTCGTAACCTTTAGCGATATGTTTTTATAATAATTTAAAAAAAAGAACGAAAACGTTTAGTTTTTTTGTGTACATGTGTGTGGTATATATATATTTGAAATAATAAGTAATTATTGCTTTCTATTCATTTAAAAACTGAATTATGAAAATGTTATTATTCTTGTAAGTCATTCTAGAAGATATGTGTGCATGAAAATAAATATATAAAAAATTATAAAAGCTTATTTGTTTATATATGTAAATTTATTGGGGTACAGGTTCTTTTTATATTGATCATTACCTTCCTTTGGCAAACTGCGTCACATTTTATGAAGGGATTTTTTTATTTATTAAAAAGTAATGCGAAATATAAGCCAGGTTTATAATTAATATTTTAATTAGGTAGTTTCTGCTCATGTAATAGCAAAATAGATAATGGTAAAATTTCAATAATTAATTATGAATATCAACAAACAAGACCGCGAAAGCCTATCAAACTATCAAAGTTGAGCCACCAGATTGTGTGTAATCCTCCTATAGTTTTCAAATAAAACTAATTTTAAATATATTCAAAGCATACAGATATTATTGTTTTGGAACAACTAAAAACTATATTTATAATTTAACGATTTATTGTAACTTTTGTCAAGAAATTTACATTTATATGTAACGCTGCTATTTTATTCCGATAGCATCAGTGAAAAGCAATATACGCAATAAGAACAGGCATTTACTTAAGTTGAAAAAGGCACAAATATAAAATAAAATTTTATTAAAGTCTAAAATATTTTAGTTTTATTGTATCTTCTAACAACAGTATGATTTATGAACAGTAAGATTTGATTATACCATTCATATAAAATTTTATTGGCCTTTGTATTTTGATATACTTATTTATTTTTTTGAAATGATTGGTAAGGATTACGAATTGTATTGTAACAGACTATTATTATCATTACAACTGACTTCACATGGATAGTAAAATGAATATTGAAGAGAATATGATCTTATAAGTAAATTTAAAAAAAGCCTTTCTTAATGTTATGAAAATACCTTTTATTAAATAATATATGTTAAAAAATAAAATAACGCTGTTTTTATGATTTATTCAAAGTTATCGTTCCAAAGCTGTTATGATATTTTTCTTTAGACTTGAGATGTTTTATGGTTTTCCACCGCTACGTGGTCTAACTTTAGAAAGAAACCGCCTGTAACAGACGAATTATTATGAAATATAAAGTTGATTATACCATGATAATCTATGCCTGTCAGACATGAAAGATCAACAAAAACGTCAAAGAAAAAATTATAAAGTGCCAATGAGGAATGGAGCGGAGTATGCTTAACATTAAGAGAATAGATAAAATTAGACATACAAAAATACGCAACATCACAAAAGCAACAGACGGTTTAGCACAAGCTCTGGTGTTAAAATGGAAGTGGGCCGGACACATATCACGCCTGCAAGATCACAGGTGGACAAGAACAGTGTCAGAATGGAGGGGGCCAGTGGACAAAAGAAAGAAAGGGAGACCTTATTACAGACGGGAGGACGAAATAAAACGTATAACGGGTCCAAACTGGATGCAAATAGCGCAATCCAGAGAAAACTGGCTACTTTTGGAGGAGGCCTTTACCTGCAGAGGGGTTCCTACAGAATAATAAAACATAAT